TTTCCTGGCATGCATAGAAGGACATTGGTTACTCTTTGTTGTCAACCGTCCGAAGAAGATGGTTGATTACCTTTGTTCATTGGGAGGGGCGCATAAACGTATGGATTATGTTAAACTATTGGTACGTATATTTAGTTTGTGTTGATGGAATTGATTAGGAGTGAACATGTATTATTTACAAAATATTGATATGTACAACAGAAAGAGTTTATTGGGATCGTATTTAAGGAAGATTTCACAACATTTCAACCCCGCACACCAAGGGCATTACCCAGACAAACAGATAGGTAAGAATAAGTTTTATGTATTTAATTAGAAAACAGCCCTATACATTTGTATAGGTAATTACTTACAATTAGCCATTGCAGTGAATCATGTGGGCTATTTGTGATGAGGTTTATGGAGCGGTGGAATGGGAAATGTTTATCCCCCGCTTTCGAACATGTAAGTAAAAAATGTGATAACTTATTCATACAATATAATACACGTAATTACATTAATGGTTAGATTTCACAGTTACTTTATCAGGAAATAACTCAAATTATTAAACTTTTCATAATGTTGCAGACAGACGCAAAGGCAATGCGTTCTGAAATACTGCTCCAGCTCTTGGATGATGATAGGAATGAAAAAAAAGTTGATTTATACATCTTGTCATCTATTCGTGGATCCCAAACAAACAATTAATTTGTGTTAATTTCGTACAATGAATTTGTGTTAATGTAGTAAAATTGATGGGTGGCAAATTTTCTGAAATGTTGTAGGACTGTTATACAAATTTCATTTTTTACACCAGAATATTTGAGTACCATGTGTTACAACATATTTGTAGATAATATAACATTTATCTTAACATATATCACATCTTTGACGAGCAATGTAGAGCAAAAGAAGTTAAAGAGAGCGTAGAAGGAATCATTAAATACGCATCATAATTTTTTACTAATATGTGTTACAATGTTATTTTATATTATATATGAATAGTTTGTTAACATGCATCAGAACTTTTAATTACGAAGTTAAAGTTAACTGTTAAAAACACATCCAAAATTTTAACTAATATGTGTTACAATGTTATTGTATATTATATTTGAATTCTTTGTTAACATGCATCACAACTTTTAATTATGAAGTTGAAGGTAACTGTTAAAATCGCATCATCATTTTTTACTAATATGTGTTACAATGTTATTATATATTATATATGAATTATTTGTTAACATGCATGACAACTTTTAATTACGAAGTTGAAGGTAACTGTTAAATACCCATCATACTTTTTCACTAATATGCGTTACAAAATAATTGGGCATAACATATGAATTATTTCCTAACACGAATCCGAATATTTCATTTACGCAACAACACCTGCATGAGTAAAATCACTGCCAATCCAAAAAAAATCAAGCCTACAAGAAAAAAAAATAAACAAAGCCTTTGCGATAGACAAATGTATATTTAGAAGATCGGCATCTGCAGTAGTTGTTGGTGCACGAGCAACAACGTTTTCAACCGTGGATGGTGGATCGATCCACACAAAAAAAAAGAACAACGCCTTTCTGCACAGTTGAAGAATCGCCTCCTTGGATTCTCTTTGGTCTTTGAAACATGCAAACGACTCCATTCTCCACATAAACAAATTGGATGGTCAACATCACCTCTACGACGTACTCCACTGCTGCTCGATGACGCCTTTGAAGACACTTGCTATAAATACGCAGTAAACAAAGTAGAGACCTTAGACCAAAGAGAGAGAGTACACAGATCCTTTGTTAGAGAAAAGTGGAATAAGACTGAGGTTTTAAGGCTATGGATTTCGGATTGTGTCTCTGTTTCTGGTTCTTTGTATACATACATATATATATATATATATACATGTAGCTGTGTGTGTGTCTGTGTGTTGAGAACGGCTCTCTAACGGTTCATTTTGTAACGGTTCAAATTGAAGGGTCAGCCGGCTCAGTTTTCAAAGTGGTTTTAATACTTGGTTTTAATTAGAATAAAATAATATTTCTATTCAACGTAATATATCTTGCCAAAGTGGGTTTGTATTCCGGAAAATCAATGCAGAGAAAAAAAAAATAGAAACGAGTTGGGAATAAAAGCCATGTTGGGTAGAAACGAGTTGGGAACATAAATGCATTGAGAGATACATCAGACAGAGAAGCATCGGAGAAGTTTGTGTGGCAAAAGGAAAGATGCAGCTGCATTGAATTAGTTGTTCAGCAAAACAGAGTGGAAATGATGCATTCAATGAAGTTGTTGGGTATAAATGAAAAGTTAATGGTGCCTAACTACTGATTCCTATTCAGTTTACTGAATCTATATTATTCAACCATAAAAATCCAACACAGCTTCTTGCAACCCAAATAAGAAGGCAGCTTCATCGGGAAGTTGGTGAGTGTTCCTATGTCAAGTATAATATTTGTATCTTAACTATGCATATATAAATTATACTTTTCAGTCTGACCACTTAAGTATTCAGTTTTGTGTACTTACTTTTCAGATTGGATTGGCGGCATGGTTTCCATTCTTATTCACTATGGTCCACGTATTGGTGAAATCAGAGATGTGGACCCAGAAAATTATGGTTACTAGAAATTTTTAGAAGATTTGTGTGGACTACCATTCATTCGTGCAATTTCATATCATTTTTCCATGAACGTATATGTTTCTATCCCTTCCTTACTAGACAGAATGGTGCTCAGCAGCGATTCAAATATAGCAAGGATGTTTGAATTGAAATATCCCTATCAAACGATGATTGTTTTCTTTAAAACAGAGGAAATAGGTTATCCATTAGCTACCTGCTTTTGATCCATCTACTACTGTGACTTGGAAGTCTGGAAGTGTTTTATGATTTTCATGGTGTTCTTCTAATATTTTACTTAAATGTTATGTAGTTGTGACATATGTTTAAAATATATATAAAGTTGTGACATATGTTATGTTATGTATGTCTGACAAATTATTGTGACATGTGTTTAAAATATATACCTATATGATATACAATATACTTGTGGCACTAGTTATTCAAATGTTATGACGCCACTTTCAAAATAACATCTCCATACAAAAATTATATAACAATTACAAATATTAAATTTTGCTACATCACTTTCATCATGCATTATTCTATAATTCATATACTTGAATACATGAAGAAAGTCCATTCTGATGTGGCGAAAGTCCACTGTGTGTTACCCATTCAAATTACAGAACTACCCAGATAATCCTTCTATGTAATGTTGCGAAAGACGACCTTGCAAAACCAAGATATTTAAATCACACCAACAACGATTACAATTGATGAGATCCTCATTAAGGATCCAGCAATGCCAATCAATATGGTTGCTTTCAGGACAACATTTTGGAATATGCGTAAAGAATGACCGATTGCGGGAAGAAGTCTCTCAATAATTGTTAACATCTTTCTACGGGCAGACTTGATACAAGTGTTGAGTATTGAATTTGTCCTCAACAACGTTAAAAAATTAATCCCCGCCTCTTTGTCCGTTTCATTGGAAAATAATAATGCAATACACATAGGATAAAGGGACGCGTAACCATTTGTACGGAGGAAAGCCAACCCTATTTTTTCATTGTAAACAATCCAATCAACCTGTGCAAATTTTTTTGCATGTTAGACCATACAAATAAATAAAGTGTAATGCATAAAAGAGTACACATGATCTTAGGAAACATACCACTCCCCTAATAAATTTTGCAACATGATCCCGAGATTGAAAACATTGTTCCAGGTACATACATCTTGCTGGGATACTTTCATCTGGCCCATTACGTTCAACTAATTCAATTGTTACATCGTATCGCTGTAGACCCGTCGTCCATAGTCCAGTGCCCAGTTCTGCTGTTTCCCTTCATTTTCAATACGTACAACACCCATATGTCTCATTTTAGTAATGTAGACCCATAAGCCGAGAATATATGTAAATTGTAAACTATAAACTGAAACATAACTCACCATGCATGCTTCTCTTGACTGTTTCTAAAAGCTATAGCCTTAACTCGTCTAACCACATCTTCAATCGCAGTATGTAAAACAACATCCATGGTTTCCGAATACATGCAGCGGCTGCATATGGCGTAGAGTATGGTGATATAAATAGACACATAAATTTACCTTTAAACGTTGCCTAGGGCAGTTATAACTACCCAAATGGTTTCAATATAACAACGGTTACAAGGCTAAGATGAAAGTTTCCACTTTAATTGGAAAATAAGTATTACAATAAAGGTACAACTCTAGAAATAATTTAACATGCATCCATTTACATTATTTCTTTCTACCATATCTTGGAGGTGGAATAACAAAGTCGTCATCTCCCGGGTCAGAAAAATTTGACAAATTAGAATCTGATTTCAGATCTGGGTCATTCACAATAGAGGCAATTTGCTCAGCTAGAACCTCATATGTTTGTTTAGCTTCATTCACTTTCTCCACCTTACACCATCTCAGATAAAGTTAGTGGATTTCAGGGTTAATCTGACCAATGATGGAATACATATCTGATGTACCTGCCAGCTTCATTTCAAGTGAACGTGGTCTTGGAATGGCTAGACCTGCTCGTCTACACTCTGCAACAATTACACTCCTCGCATTTGTTAACTCCTCATACTTAATAAGTTATTCCGGTTGCCATTCAGCTTGAGACACCTGTGGAGGTGGACGGCCTGCATGAGGTTGAATATCTTGTACTACCTCACCTTCACTTTTTACCACTTCAGCATGGCAGTGGGCATTCCATCTGCTGAAGGCCTCAACAGCGTCTGCATAACTAGTATAAGGATAATACTTTGCATCAGGATACCCTCGTGTCTGTGCCTTCGCGTCTGCCAACTTCCTGTATATTCCCACATTCCGGCCCATGAAAACAACATAAAACCGACGTGCACCCATTGCTTATACAGAATATGTGATGTGAATATGAGACGAAGGATATGGGGATGAAGAATCCCTGAATATTTAAACTTCAAGTTCAGCAATGGGTAAATGTAACTCGCCTCTTTAATGTTCTTACCAAACAGTAATTAATTGTCCACACAACTACCAGTGTAGGTGCAAAGTAATTGTCCAAACAAACCATAGACTCTTTACAGTTTTTACCAACAACTTCACCAAACTGAATTATTTAAGGTGCAATAACAAATGCAATCTACATAAATAAAGTTTCAAAAGTCTTTCTAAGATCACATAGGAAGCAAAAGATTTAAGTTCATATATGTTCATTAATAACATATTTGTAGCAAACGAAATAACTGCACTAAATTTTTATGTCCTTTAGAATGTTCTGCTCTGCCCATTTCCGACACTGTTATTGGTGACATGTCTAATTCATGTTTTCCATTGGCACAGGGGACATTGTGTAATGACCCGGTTATTTCCTTCCTTTTCTTTTTCCTTAGAATTTCACGGATGAATTTTTTTTCGTTGAAATTTCTTGTCTGAGTTTAGTTTCTCGTCGCTTAGTGTCGTCTCGAGTGCTCAGAAATGGTTTTTGAGACTCTTTCCTTTGGATTGACAACTTCCTTTGAGGACCGAGTCATTTCCATATTTTTTGTTTTTCGACACTATTCACTTTTCGTCATTTTCCCTATTTTGTCATTTTCCCTATTCTGTCTTTTCCCCGTTTGTCACTTGGTTGGCGTAACCTCACTCCTTGTGTTCGGAGTTGGTTTTTGACTTCATGTGTCTTTATTCTAAGTAGTTTCCACGAAATACGTATCTTTACTTTTGCAAGAAAGTACTCTGATTGCTCCCGGTGTCCATAGGGGCATGGATGCAAAGTTCTTTGGAATTATTTTCTTTTCTTGGGGTGTTTTTTGTAAATATCTTTTGAAGATATTTTATTTTAGGGGTTTTTAAGAAAATATTTTTGGAAGATATTTTCATTCTGGGGCATTAGTGCAATTAACCCTTTTTGGAGGGGCCATTTTGCAATTAGTGAAAGTTATTGTAAAATACTTCGTCTAGATCTTGGATCCTCATACAGGATTCATTTTCACTTTTCACCGACTCTTAAATTCTTGGAATTTCCTTCTGGTCATTTTTCTTCAGTTTTAGGGTTTCTGGCTCCGGTTGCCGCCGAACTTGTTCGGGGCATATCTCTTTGCTCGGAACTCAGTTTTTGACGCCGTTTCTTCCATTATTCATATTTTCTCATTTTGAATCTTTTTTGTTCACAGAGTTTTGCCATTTGAGCGCATTTACTCAAATTCCACTAGTCCGGACCTAGCGGGGCCCGTTCGGGGCACTTTTTGAGATTTCTTTAAAAGGAGGGTGAAATATTTCATTTTTCATCTTCCCCACTCACCTTGCACGACCAAAGCTCCTATGGCAGCCCAAGGGAGGCTGCCACCACCTCTCTCCTCTTTTGAACTTCATTCCTTTGTTAAAAAGTTGAAGTGCCTTTACATTTTGTGTTCGTGTTGACTACGTGCACCATTATCCCTTATTAGAAACCATTTCTGACCAAATTTTGAGTTCGGGATTGAGGTCAAGTTTGGATTTTCATGGGGCTTCTTGGGGATTCATATAGATCGTGTTGTCCCCGACAAAACCTAGGAGTTTCGTCGGATTCGGAGCCGTTTCAATTCGGTGGGGATTTGGGATTTTCATCTCAAATTGAAGTAGGGGATGTTTTAGGGTTATATTAATGTTGTATTGATTGTTAAATGAGCATATACAACTTGTGAGCATGCCTTGTTCAAGTTATATAACTTAATTTAATTATTTTATTTGTTTAAGATTTAATTCTCATGATGCTAGGCAACTTAGAATTAAATTGTGGCATGCTAGAAATTTAGGCCTTGGTATGGTGGTTGATATATATTAAATTGGGGTTATTTGAATAAAAATTGTAAATTTTATTTAATATTTATCTTTTGTGAAAGTTTAATTCACCTAGTTGTATCAAGTATGGAATCAACTTGTAATGTGATATTAAAGTAGGCCTTGGTGAGTTCTTTAACATATATTAAATTGAAGACATTTGGATATGTTTGAAAATCTAGAGAAAAATTAATTAATGAGCTTAATTAATTTTATTTTAAGTGTGTTGGTCACTTAAATTAATATCGGAGGTAATAGGTTATTAATCCCTTGAAACATAGTCCGTTTAATCACCTTGTGAGCATATTACAAATTTGATGTAGAATTATTACTTGAGGCATCTTGAAATGGTAATTGGACTTAGCATGATATAGACTATTATTGACTTGCATAGCTTGTTTAGATATATCTTGTGTGGGTGTATAGCTTGTTAGAATATTACAATTGTTTACCTTGAAAGCTAATTACTGAATTAGGACTTATTTAGTACTTGTGGCTTAGTGTGGTAATGTGGTTCAATTGTTGTAAAATATTCTTGTTTTGGTGTATAAATTGCATATTGGAGGTTTGACATGTCACATGTTATCTAGACTTGAATTCTATGACATGGTTTGTGTGGATTCAACCTTATTTGTGCATGGAAGATGGCTTTATGCATTAGTGGATTTGGTAAAAGTTTAGTCTAACTTATTGATTTTTGTATAAGTTTTGGACTTATTAATTTTGGAAAGCTTGTAAGGACATATTTCACGTGATGACTAGGGTTTGGCTCTAGTACGGAGACAAGAATCTTCTAAGTCATAAGTGCGTACTAGGTAGTACCTTGTGGGTCGTAATTGCCCGGAATAACTTATGCATGTGCGCACTAGGTAGTGCCTTGTGGGTCGTAATTACCCGGAAATACTTGCTTGGTCTAGTGACCACATGTCCTAGTCTTTCTACTATGATTTCGCATTCAATTTCAAGTTGTTAATCATGGATTACTTGTAGCTTGAGAATTAATGTTTGCTTTGGATATTTGAATCTTACTTAGTATACTTGAAACTGTAAACTTGTTTTGTGCATTTAGATCTCATATAGTGTACTTGAACTTGTATGCTTGCTCTGTGAGTTTAGATTTCATTTAGTATGCTTGTGCCGTGTATACTTGTTTTAGGCGTATCTCTTTTAGCTTAGTATACTTGTGTTCGTATACTTGATTTACGAGATTTTCATATAAAATGCATACTTGTGTAAATATGCTTAGACATTGCATGACTTGTCTTAATGTGGTTTAGTATACTTGAAAATGTATGCTTGTATGTTGTATAACGTGTTTAACATTATTTAGTATACTTGAGCATGTATACTTGTATGCCGTTGTTCACTTTAAATTGCATGAGTAGCTTAGGATGCTCCCTGAGTCTCATTTTGATATAGACGTTAAGTGGCATGAGCCCCTTTGACATGTTTCACCTTAAGGTGATATAATTGTAAAATGCTAGGTCGATGCATGCTCATCTCCTACAAGTAGCTTTATGTTACTCACCCACGTAGTGGGGACATTTTTCAGGTACCGGGATCAAGATTTGGGATTCACATCATGCTTGGATGATTTGTAGACTTGAAGTTCTCATTTCATGTAAATGTTGACTTGAAATGCCATTTATAGCTTTATATGTCAAAATGTGTAAATTTGATTCTATTTTTGTAATGTGTACATAAGTACATTCTTTACAATGTATTTGACATGTATGAGATGAGGCCATAAGCCAATGACATCTAATTTGTATCCTATGTAACTTTTAACTTCATGAAATATTATGAAAATATTGAAAAATGCCAAGTCATTGTCTCACCATGGTTGCATCGGGTGTAGGAATTCCATTTTCATTCTTTCATAGGGTCTTATAAATCATGTTTGAAGTGTGGCCAAGGGCCAAACGGTCATTTGACCCCGTTTTGTATTTTTGGATTCCGAGTTTTCATTCTAAGTTCCATTTTTGCCTTTTTACCCGTTGGGGGGTCGGATTTTGTATCGGTGGTATTTTTAAGTCGTGGACCATTGTAGCATGTCCAAATAGGTAAGTTACGTTTGCGTGCATGGTCGTTTCTGAGCAAAACCTTATTGTTTGTGTTTTGAGCTTCCTATGGACTCATTTTGAAGTTTTGTTGCATAATCTGATTTTAGGGCACTTTGGGGTTTTTCTTCGGGAAATAAATTCCGTTCTTGACATGGTCACTTAGAAAACGTAATTTTAGGGGGGGTTTCTTCTTCGTGCTTTTCCAAAAAATGTCGTCTTGGTACCGGAAATCCCGTCCAAAGTTCAGTTTTTCTGCTATGCTATAGCAGCTTTTTTTTAACTTCTTGCCCTTTCCTAATCTAGGGGCATTCTGGGTACTTCATAGTGTTTCTTTTTCATTTTCGTTCACAATCCGGGTAGAAAACATGATTTTAGGGGGGGTTTCTTCTTCATGTTTTTACAAAAAAAATCATCTTGATGCCGAAAACAACTCGCAGATCTGGAAAATCTGGTCGCCCCAGGTTTTTCAGGAAAAAGTTCTGATCTAAGGGGGCATTTCGAGTATTTCACTTGAAAAATAAAAAATTCTTTTGACATGGTCATGTAGAAAACATGATTTTGGGGGGGGGGGGGGGGGGGGAGGTTTCTTCACAACTTTTTGCCAAAAAAAATGTCATTTAAGCCCTCAAAATCCCATTTGAATTCGGAAAATGTGTGCAGGCCCTGCTCATACTTGAAACCCAGAAAGTCTAATTTTTTGAAACTTTGAGACTTCATATCTTCATCATCTGGACTCCAAATCAAGTGATTTTTGAGTCTAAGTTTATTAGTTTTTGTTGGTCTATATAAAGGTATGCACAGTGGCATCAAATTATATCTGAAAAGACCATTTTACCCCTTGTAAAGTACCCTTGCCGCACTGATTTTAAACCCAAAAGTTGGTTTTTATGAAACTTCGACATTTCATATCTTATTCGTCCGGACTCCGAATCAAGTGATTCTTGATTCTAGATTCATTAATTTTTCCTAGTCTATCTAACGGTATGCTCAGTTGCATCTAGTTTGGTCTGAAAGGACCATTTTAACCCATGTAAAGTACCCTTGCCGTATTGATTTCAAACCCAAAAGTTTGATTTTATGAAACTTTGGAGTTTCATATTTTCTTCATCCGGACTCCGAATCAAGTGATTCTTGAGTTCATCTTGATTAGTTTTTCGTTATCCTTCCAATGGTGTACTCGGTGGCACCCGAGTCCATAATTTTTAGAAATGACTATTTTACCCCTGGGGGCTTATTTGTCATATTTTTGGTCTTTTGCTTCCGCATCAGTTCTCATTGAGTTCCACGACCTCATGGAAGGTCATTTTGACTTCTTAGAGTCTTGTTTTCTGTTTTTGCTTCCGCATATCGGATCCATTATCGGGTCAATCTGCGGTTCATCACAGGACACGCTGGCCTAAAAACCAGGGTCGTCACACATTGGGGCAACATTTAATTGATGTACACCTTCTACATGAACTTCCTTTTACTATCATGATTTACAAAAAACAATACAACAGTTGTTTGTAATTTCAACAGCAAATTTATTAAAAATTTGGGCCTTATGCATATAATATACACTTACCAGTTTCAACGTGAGTGGTTCTTCATATGCTGATGGGGGGGTCATTATCATGGGTTCACCAAAATAAGCTGCACGAGGGCTATTCTCATATTCCTGGGATTGTGTTGAAGGTCCTGCCCTATCAAATTCTTCGGACATGAATATATGTGATGGAATTTCAGCACCCTTCAAACAATCAAACCATCAACTCAAGTGTTATGATGTACATATAGTTTTGGATAGGTGAAACTTAGAAGAACACTCACATTGTGTAAAATATATGAAAGGATAGTAATACAAGCACTGCAACCTGCCACTCCGGCAACAATGCCACCATTGGAATTCTGTATAACACGATATGAGGAGTTTGTTGTTTAAAAATTATATAATGACAACAGAGATAAAATGATAAACATAACAGGGTAAAACCACGCACATAAAGCTAAATACATACATGATAAGGCTAAGGGTATGTACCTCTAAATTACGGTTGTCAGTCTTTTTCTTCTTTCTAGTGGTTTTTTCCAACACAGATACGAACCTACACCTTCTTCCTTTCGATGTATCTTTGGTGGCAATCCCCTTCAGATTCAAAATTGGAATGCTTTGCACAATGTCTTTGGTGGCAACCGTAGGATTAGGTATTGATCCTTCGGCAATTTGCTTCAAACTACTAAGCTGCATCAAAACATTATTGAATCCATCATGGCTAAGAGATGCAATGGAAGATATTTCTGTAAGCTGACGACAAAGTATTCTGTGCCGTCATCTCATCTAAAGTCTAGGATCCGTCAGCACATCTGTGCCAATTAATTCTTCCAACCTGCCGTCCTTCGCATTTCTTGTCCACCTTTTCAAAACATATCGGCTCAGTATTTTGCTCACACACATCTTATCTCTGAGGACTTACAGAGTATGGCTGCACATGACACCCTCCATTTCAAACTTTCCACAAGAACATGACAAATGGTCATCACGTGTCCGTATCACTCGCCGCATCACGTTTTGATTATACAACTCAACTTCATACACATATTCCCCGTTACCATTGTCATTGCAGTTCAGGATATACTGACTCATACAAGCTATTAATAATTGTTCCTGAAAAAGTTCAAATATGTTAGCAGTGTACACATGTCCGGTGTGATCTAATATGGGAGATCTTGCTTTCATCCTAAGCATCTTCTGGACCAAATCATATTCAGCTTCATACTCCTTGTACCTCTTGTCGTACAACAACGTGTCGAAATGCTTGAAGAAATCTGGAAGTGCATATTGTCTAGATAAGTACTGTTTCAACCCACTGTTGAAGCTTTCACTTAGCTGTGTGGTACGCATACCAGCAGACCATACATTTTTTACGTATGCCTTGGCCAATACATGTTTCAAACGAAACAAGTTAGCCAACCATGTATTATTCTCCACACCAAATTCCCTTTCCATCAAAGACCATTCCTGTAAAAACTCATCATGCTCCTCAATGTCAAACATGAATTTGGAGATCACACTTTTTATGCCTTTCCCACCAACAGACATGTTGCCGATATGCTTTTGTGCATTAAGCATAAGGTGCCACGTATACAAATGGTGATTTGTGTTGAGCATTACTTCTGCTAATGCCTTTGCCATTGCTGCGTCTTGGTCAGTCAATATTGTCCTGGGCACTTTGTGGGACATTGCATTCAAGAATGTATTAAACAACCAAGCAAATGAATCCGCCGTCTCATCATACATGAAAGCGGCACAAAACACACATGTCTGCCGATGATGGTTCAAACCAAGAAAAACACCCAAAGGCCAGTTACCTTGGACAAGTTTATACGTTGTATCAAACGTAACCACATCTCCAAAATGGCCATAATCTGATATCATTTTCGAATCCGCCCAAAAAATATTAGTTATCATTGTATCTTTATCCAGTTGGACAGCATAAAAAAATGATGGATCTTCCCATGACTGAGTTTGGAAATAATTCATGAGCCAACCCGCCGCTCCACACTCTAGCTCATTCTGCCTTCTTGTCCTAATATAATTTTGTACATCAACCTTGGTGTAGCCAATTGCTTCTCTACCTCCAACTTGCCTAGAGCTTAATTCGAAGGCTTTACGAACTGCTATTCCAGAATCACAAGCCAACTCCACATCAATACCTTGCACTGAGCTAATTTTTCGCTGCGATGGCATCATGTGCGTGCACTGCTACATGATGAGGGGATGGTTATGACTTTCTTCAAACTGTTTTACAACGAAATTTTGCAAACCCACATCATACCTTACTAACATGCGTGCACCACAGTTTGTGCGTGTTTCAGCCCTTGATTTCTTTGTTTTTCCGTCTCTCTTGTCCTTACTTCTTAAACCTTCCTTGCTACAAACAAATAACCTAGATATTATTTTTCCATCCTTCCAACTTTTATTTGCATACTCCTTCCGAATACTAAAACCGACTCTGCCACCATAATTGTTCTAAAAATCATACGCCGCATCTACAGAATCAAACTCCATTTCAAGACATGGTTTCCATTGTACTTCATTTTCCTCAGAATCTGATTCGCTATCTGTATCTTCAATATTAATAGTTCCATCTTCCATATCTTCAATATTAATAGTTCCATCTTCCATGGCCATAACTTAAATATAAAACCTACAAATGTAAGCATAACACGTAAGTATTAGCATAGTTCAACTATCACCACATTTCACTAACATGTAGCAACATTTTAATAAATATAACATCAAATATTTTACCTAACATCTGCACATCAAACTGATAGAATAATATAATGCATATCCACATATGCATACACATTTCCAACATGTGGCAGTACTTATATGAAGTTATCATACAAAAAAAAAAAACCTAACATACTTCAACAGAACCTCACAAAGGCAATTCATTTACAATGGGAATCAAATGAAGTTTTGCACCGAACAACATATCAACACTTCAATAAATAAATCATCACATCTTCTAAGTACCATCTTGACATAAATTTAAGTGATACAGTAATATAATGCATATCCACACTTTCATACACTTGTGCAACATGTGGGAAGCAAATGAACTTTTGAACTGAACAATATAACCTTTTAGAAACAGGTGTCAAGAGTTTACTGAATAAACCATGACATCTTTTACCTAACATATATTCATACACTTTTCCAACATGTGGCACCACTTATATGAACATGTCATACAAAATTATTCCTAACATACTTCAACCAACCTCATAAATGAAAAGCATTTAAAGTGGGAACCAAAAGAACTTTTGAACTGGACAGCATAACCTTTTATAAACAAGTGTCAACATTTTAATAAATACACCATCACATCTTTAATTGGACAGTATAACCTTTTACAAACAGCTGTCAATAGTTTAATAAATACACCATCACATCTTTCACCTAACATCTTCACCTAATTTTAACAGATAGAGTAATATAATGTAAGTCCACAGATTCATACACTTTTCCAACATGTGCCACAACATATATGACTATGTCATACAAAATTATTCCTAACATACTATCATAACTTTTGAACTCAACAATATTACCTTTTACAAACACATGTCAATAATGTAATGACTAAACTATCACAACTTTAACTTTTACCTAACATCATGACCTAATTTTCACACATTGAGTAATATAATTCATGTGCACACATTCATACACTTTTCCAACATGTGGCACCACTTATATGGACATGTCATAAAAAATTATTCCTAACATACATCAACTGAACCTCATTAAGGCTAATCATTTCAAGTGAGAAGCAAATGCACTTTTCAACTCAACAACATAATATAATTCATGTGCACACATTCATACACTTTTCCAACATGTGGCACCACTTCTATGGACATGTAATACAAAATTATTCCTAACATACATCAGCTGATCCTCATTAAGGCAAATCATTTCAAGAGGGAAGCACATGCACTTTTCAACTCAACAACATAACCTTTTATAAACAGGTGTCATAAATGTAATGAATAAACTATCACAACTTTTACCTCACATTATGACCCGAATTTAACAGATTGAGTAATATAATACATGTGCACACATTCATACACTTTTCCAACATGTGGCACCACTTATATGGACATGTCATACAAAATTATTCCTAACATACTTCAACTGAACCTCATAAAGGCAAATCATTTCATGTGGGAAGCAAATGCACTTTTAAACTTAACAACATAACCTTTTACAAACGGGTGTCAATAGTTTAATAAATAAACCATCACATCTTTTAGCTAATATCTGTTCATACACTTTTTCAACATGTGCCACCACTTATATGAACATGTCATACATAATTATTCCTCACATACTTCAACTGAAACTCATAGACGCGTTTAAAGTGGGAAGCAAATGAATTTTACAACTGAACAACGTAACCTTATACAAACAGGTGTCAACAGTTTAATAAAAAAAATATCATATCTTTAACCTAACATCTATTCATACACTTTTCCAACATGTGGCACCATTTATATGACGATGTCATACAAAATTATTCCTAACATACTTCAACTGAACCTCATAAAGGAAAATCATTTAAGGTGGGAAGCAAATGAACTTCTGAAGTGGAGAACATAATCTTAAACATTAGAAGTGTCAACAGTTTAAAAAATAAAACATTACATCTTTAACCTAACATCTTCACCTGATTTTAACAGATAGAGTCATATAATGCATGTCCACACATTCATACACTTTTCGAACATGTGGCACCACTAATATGAACATGTCATACAAAATATATCACACTAACAATTGTTATAATCACAAATTCAATTATTATAATCACATGTAAAATAGGGTTATAACTTACATGTAAACACATATCTATACTGCTATAAATATTATCACACTCTACACTGTTTTGTTGTGTCTTAATTTATTAGATCAAAATTAATTCAGGGGTTATTTCAAAAACCAAATATAAAACAAATGCCCTAATACATCACAATTTCAATTAGTATAATCAGATGACAAATAGACTTATCAATTATATGTAAACACATATGTCCACTGCAAAAAATATTATCTCTCTCACACTATTTTTTTGTGTCTTCATTGAATCGTATATAATTCAAGGATTTTGTATTTCATAACCCAAATATAAAACAAAATTAGTAATTTATCACAAATTCAGTGATTATACCATGTAAAATACACTTATAAATAACATGTAAATATAACTATAGACTCTACAAATTTAAGATACATATGCAGAACAACAAAGAAAGTAAAATTTAGCTTCACTGAAATTTAAAAAAAATGCAGAAAAACAAACATACCAAATTCTTGTACAAATATATATGCTTCTTTGAAGACAGACAATGTGTAGGAAGCTTGAGTTGAATTTCAGAGGAAGCTTGAGTTGAATTTCAGAGGAAGAAAGACGTGAACGAAGCTTAGTCTTTGGCCGGATTCTTCAGACTTCAATTTCAGAGGGAGAAACACCTGAACGAAGCTTGGAAGCTTCAATTTCAGAGGGAGGGTTGAATTTCCGAGGAAGAGAGAGGTCAACGAAGCTTGGTCTTTGGCCAGATTCTTCACGCTTCAATTTCAGACGGAGAAACACCTGAACAAAGCTTAGTCATTCGCCGGATAGACAGACCATTTCAAAAGCTTCACCTTCAGTCGTCAGTCACCGGATTCTTCATAATGATACAAAAAAAATTCAGATACAAATAATGATACAAAATTTGTGAATAAACATTTTACTTTTGGGGAGACAGACCTGAACCAAGCTTCAATTTCAGACGGCGAGTGAATTTCAGAGGAAGAGAGGCATAAATGAAGCGTCTTTTACCAGAGACTTCAGACTTCAATTTAAGAGGGAGAGAGACCATTTCAATAGCTTCAACTTTGGCCGGATTGTTGATCAGCCGCCGGAATATTGGTCAGTCGCCGGATTCTTCATGACTTCAATTACAGAGGGAGAGAGGGCAGAATTTCAGACAAATAATGATACAAACATTTTACTTTTGGGGGGAATAAGATCGGGGAAAAGAAGCAACAGTATTTTGAAGGAAATTTAAGCTCGTATTTGTCCATAACTATATAAACTTCTTCAACACATACATGCGTAGCAGTAGTATATACATAAGTAAAGTAAATACTTTTTTTACCAACCTGCCATGTCACGCCTCCATGTCAGCACTGGACACCCTCCAGTGAGAGGGTGCCCGGAGAGGATTTTTCCCCAACAACAATTGCGTGCTTTGGCTAGCTGCTCAGGCCCCCACATGTTTATTTTATGTCTACGATGGCTCTTTTACGAAAAACAAATTACACTGATTTCAATGTATTTTTTTGGTTTTTTTTTTTTTTCTATCCTTAAAAGATCATAAAAATACGCGGGCTTATTTCTTGACTTTTTCTTTTTGATTTATTTAATTATTTGTGAGAAAATATGTAATGTCTTTATATTTATGTTTATTTAATTTTGTTAAAAAAAACTGTTCTACAAAAACAAACAAACAAACAAAAAAAACCCTTCAAAACACGAGTGATTGGAAAAATGGGCAGTCGAGAAAAACACAAACAAATAATAACATAAAAATGTTTTTAAAATTTTTATAAAAAAATGTAAAATTAAAATATATAAAAAGAATTAAAAAATTAATAAAATAATAAAAAGGGGCAGCCCAACCAACACCATATTCAGCCGAACTAGCCACATATTGTAACTAGCCACGTCAGCCCAATTGCCGACATTTGCATAACCATCCAATATTGCCATTTGCTATACCGGCTGCTCTAAAGAGTCGATCTGGACGCCTCCAGCTGCCTGCTCACCCCTTTAAGCCCCAATACCCTCCCAAATTCCTATCCGACATCAGATGCATCCTGTGACACTATGCAACTTGCTATGGAGACCCAAGTATCCTCCTCATAATAGAATTCAAATGTAAATACCACAAGCCCTAGTAGCCTACAACACCTGCTGTGATTTCCACAAGAAATTGATATTTCTTTGATCATGCAAATTATAAGCAAAATCCTAATAGAGCACAATCATAGCTATTTAGAAACTAAGTTTCAATACACTGATTTCCTTGTGCAGTTTCATGAAGTCCCTTTCCCAACCAGATAGAAAAGAAGAAAAAAAAAAACTAAGCACATTTGACAGGACCCTAAAACTTGTACAGATTTTTGTGAACCTTTGATACCACTCGACATGTCAAAGAAACTCGGTTGGTAGTTCTGTGAATTCTATTGGAATCTCCAGTTTTATTTAATCTAATCGTTTTCTCCAAGCCTGGCAGTGGCTGATTTACTTCATCGTGGTTCAAAGCTTCGACAGAATTAACAGCCTGAGAAAGAAGATGTGAAGGAATAAGAGACAATATACACGAAAATTAGATTTAATAGGATCTCTTTGTATTACATGTCAAATACATCATACGTTGCTTTCCAATTGATTAGCACATTAAGTCATTTATATTACCTCATCGTATTGCTGCACCTCGCTATCTTTTATCCCATGCAAGTAGTCTGGAAGCCAACCAGAAGTGTGATGTCAATATTTCAATTGAACAAAAGAATCATAACTGCACACAAGCAAAAGCAACTGAAGAAGTAATCTACCTGAGTATGCCTCATCTTTGAATATCAGTAAACTCCGAGGCATCAATAGGAGGGAGAAAGGGTGGTGATTATCAGAAGCTCCATCTGAAATTTTATCTTCAACGCTGTTTCTCAATTGGTTTGTGCAGAGACTCAAACTAGAATGGGGAGTAAAGTCCATAACAACAGGTGATCCAAGAGACAAGATTGCTACTACCGGGAAATAAGCAGGTCCATCTTGGTGTGGCTGTTTTAGACAAGGTGTTAATATTATTGGCGGTTGAATAATGTTAATATTATTGGCAGTTGAATAAAACTTTACTTTGTGGAACAAATAAACAGAGATGAACAAATCTATTTTGGGCTTTTCCTCCCTATTACTTAATTCCCATAAGATCTAAATAGGAAGTTAGCAATGACTGAAAATGTAGTCATAAATATTCTTTTGGGCTCACAGGTTCAGTAGAGAGAAATAGAGAAGTTACAGGAGAGAAAATATAAAAATACAAGAAAGATACAAAGAAGAATGAATCAATTCGTGTGAGGAATAAGCACAAACCATTATGCCTTGATTAGGAAGGTATTCATTGATGAGCACATGATTAATTGCTGAAGGAAACAGCCCTGACACCTCATTTATTCTTTGCGTAATTCTTGTTAGCCAAGGCGGCACTGCACGAGAGAGGGAGATAGATTATAAATTTGTGCCTACTTCATTTTCTATTTAGTTAATTTTTTTATTGAATAAAAGAATTTATTCACGATAAATCGGTAAGAAGCCTCAACTGCATGTACAATATCTTAATTATAAACAAGCAAAACAATGCCAGATAAAATGTAGCCCAAGTTTAGCATGAATCTGACAATCTGTTGGCTTCACATAAATACATTAAGTCCACAAATTCCAAGTAATACCCGCAAAAGTTCAAAAGTGAGTTTTAAAATATTCGAGGGTCAGATGAGTAATTTTGGGCTTTTAAATTAATTATATCAGATAATCCTGTCTTAATCTAAAATATTTGAGGGTCAGATGAGTATTTTTGGGCTTTTAAATTAATTATATCATATAATCCTATCTTAATCAGGAATATGGTGCATTAGCAAACAACAATCCTAGTATACCACAAATATAAAGAGTCTTACATTAGTTAAGGTTTAAAAAGAAAAAGGCTCCAGATAGAAAAACTACGATTTTTCGAGAGGAGACAGAGAAAACTTTCACAAAATTATTGGGTCCTAGACTTGAGCTTTCAATGCAAATGCAATATTGCAACATTTACCACTTTACAATCAAGTCCTAGCACACACCCACCTATACTACCCATGTCTTGAACATTTATGCTCCATTGTCATCATGATCCAAGGTCCACATAAGCCTTTGTGTACTTGAGTCTATATGATAAATCTCAACACCACTCGAGTAGATTGTAAATTCCTTCACATGAATAGGTTGAGATCATCAAAACCACCCAATCAACCTTGGGTTGAAACACAACATAATAATAGTCCAACTCTTGCCACTGACTACTTGGTCCTTCTTCCTCAATTCATAAATCCGTAGATCATTCCCGATCTGAAAATAGGTCTGAACCGCAACTGTCCAAATGGTATGGGCAGAATCAAGAAAAGATAACCACAACTACTATGTAGTTCCATGGAGTGGCTTAGCCAAGACATGACCAAGGAATTAAGGAAATTTCATATACCCCTTGATTAGGGGGGCATTTCATGTTGGCAAGTAAGGGCATGGGTATCCTATTATATGGGTAGACGCGAACACGATACGATTATTATTTATGTCAAGAAACTTTGACATGAACGTGACGAACAAGACATGATTATTAAATGGATAACGTGACACGACACGTGAACATGTTTAACAAACGAGTCAAGACCTGACATGACACGACATGGCAAGACACGTTTCATACTATTAGGATCAAATCAACACAAATACGACAAGTTTATTAGACACGTTAAGTTAAAGGGGTCATTTCTAATGCGAACACGACACATTTATCAAACATGTTTAGTTAAACAGGTCTAATCGTATTATAAATGGATTGGCTTGTGAAACACGAACACGACATGTTTAATTAGCTTTGTCAATTTGGTCGACACAATTCAACCTGAACACGATTAAGCCAAACTCAAAACCACTTATCCCGTGTTGGGTAAAGTATTGCCACCCCTACCATGATTATAGAAGGGTTCTGATGATTTGGGCTGCTTACATGCTCCAATCAAATACCCATATAAACCACGACCTTGACTAACAGTAATTAAGCCCCTAATCAAGCTAAGAAATCGCTGTCTTCCAATTTCGTGGGATTAATTTGAAGGGAGGGAGTATCTCCAAGAGTCCCTATACAACTGAATCCACCTCCACTATACTGGTAGAACCCACACTTATCTCCAACATGTCTACCCAGTAACACAACTTTTGCCCAGAAGTTAAGAATCCAAGACAAACCACAAAAAAGGTCCAAAATACAAGGATATGGGATATTTTCAATTTTATCCAAGCTTTGATCAAATGAAAAATGAAACAACAAAATACCATGGCTAAGCGCAAGCAACGATGGTTTAAGGAGGAACCAAACCTGTTCAAGTTACAAAAAACCACCAAATCGTGATTCGATTGAGCCGAAATCAACCAAGAAGATGCATAGGATCAGAATGGTAAAAAAATCCAGGCAAAAACTCAGAAAAACAAATTGAAAATCAGTTCCAAAAATCCGAAAATACTTAAAAAATAGAAAAGGCTCATCAAACAACTTCAAATATCAAAACAAATTACACCATAATTCCTATAAAAATCAAGCAAGCCTCCATGTGGTTTTCACCGTTTTCCGACCGTGCGAGTGCTGATGATGTTTTCACCTTATTCCAGCCATGCAGATGCTGACATCAACACCCCTACTGCTGATGTCAGCACCTTCTCAGCCTAGTGCGGTATTTTTTTTTTAGACTCCTTAAAGGGTTTCGGGACTCCGATTGGTGGTTCTGATACCAAGTTGGAATTTAGATTTTGGATGATTATGTTTGAAAGAAGAAAAGAATGAGAAGAGAAAAAGATACAAAGAAGGGTTGTAAAATGATTTTGATATCACTACCTCCATATAATTCTATTAGGGCAGAAAAAATAAAAGAAAAAATAAAAGAAAAAATAAATAAAAAATAAAAAACTGAACTAACAATTTGTTGCATTTAAGGACAGTCCATCACATGACGTTAACGGAAAAATCAAGAGACACTTTTACCCTTACTGAAAATGACGGATGACATGGATCGGGTCAGATTGAAACATTGGGTCAAACAAGACGTGCGGGTGGGTTATGTTGGATTTGATCAGGTCAGGTGGGTTCTGTTGAATCAAATATTATTTTTTTCTTTTTTAATGTTATGCCTTGTTTGTCTTCCCCAAATCAATATACCATTCAACTGAAAAACACTAGATGAAAAATCTCAACAATCCACCACCTCACGAACTCAGTGTTCAATAACAATAGGGCAATGGCAACCAACCAAATGTCAACTGATGAATACACCACATGAATTCTGAAGACCACAACTATGCAACACAGTTGTGCGAACAGATCTAAAAAAGAGGACATTGGATGATCGATGATGAAGCCACAGATATTCATCTTCTTTCTCTTTTCCTCTGTCAACTCCACATCTCATATCTCAGATCTATCCTCTGTTTTTGGATCAAAACCCATCAAAATAGCAAAAGATTTAATTACCTGATGAAGCTTTGGCCTCTCTATTTTTAGGCCTAACACTGATAATCAATCGATATATATATATATATATATATATATATATATATATATACATATTGATTGATCTATCAAAAATATATATATATACATATTGATTGATTATGTAAAACCCTTCCAGCCCAAAACAAACCATCCCAGTAGATTTTCGATCTCGACTCAAAGAGAGAGAGGGAGAGGGAGAGAGAGAGAGTGAAGAGAGGTGAGCAAGAGAGGGGTTGGCCAACCCAAAACGAATGCCCCCAGTTAGACTTCTGATCTCGGCTGAGAGAGAGAGAGAGAGTGTGAGTGACAAGAGAGGGATCAACGTGGTCAAGAAGATGATGAATTAGGAGGTTCTATTTTCAGAAATTGAATTAATGATTATTAACTATATATATATAGGATGGGTAGTGTTTGGGTATAAAGAAAGGTATTAGTGGCTTTTTAACATTCATAAGGGCATTCTAGTCATTTGAAGAAAAATAGCCCATAATGTGACAAGCATGGGCACTTGACCTTTCAAATCTAAACGACACATTGACGGCAGCGGGCATTTTGCAACAAAACTTGATAGTTCAGGGGGTTTTATGTACAAATGTAGTTCAAGGGGGTTATTTACAGATTTGGGTATAGTTCAGGGTTTTTTTCCGTATTTTACCCTTTTAAATAATAACAATAATATCCCAAACGATAATTTTTTGTAAATATGCTTATAACCTCAATTTGTGCATCAATTTGAGGATGAAATGCTGAGAAAAAAAAAAAAAATTTAATTAAAGTGTCCAAAGTGTCTTCCAAAAGTTAATGTTGTACTTGACATACCTATTCAATACCTTGAAAGTGCATCACCTTAGAGTTTAACAATCTCTTCAAGGCTATCTCGAATAACTCATTTTGTATAGATGCATTCTTTAATTGATTCAGTTCAACATGTCCTCTAACATGACTGAGATTATGTGGGACATCAGATAAATGCAATCCTCAGACCACGTGTATTCACTATTCATGGGTGGAAATTCAGTCAGCAGTGCCTCGGTTGTTACATCATTAAATTTAATTAGTGTAGTGGACTCTAAGTGAATGAGATTCTAAAATCTTTTCAAATGGGGGTGAGAAGCTTCCTTAGCCACTTCTTTTTCTCGTTTTGTCAAAACATGTTAAATATCACTAATAAGCTGAGGAGAAGACATATGTGGTGTTTTAGAATCCTTTTTTGGTGGCTTTGCAGGTCTTAACAGAAGGGTTACCACCATTATACTTGAACCTATTGTGATTCCCTATGTTTTGGTGTGTCACATATAAATCATAGATCAAAGGGCAACCAAATAGAACATGGGCTACAATCAAGGATAAAACATCACACCTAATCTTATCATAGTAAGCATTCGTTTGAATAGGAACTTAATACCTTACAAAAACAATCGAGAAAGTTTCATCAACATCCTATATGGTTGTGGGTGAAGTTCAGGTTAAGTTTCATTCTATCAAAACCTGATTTTGAAACTGCGTTTACTGAGCTTCCAGCGTCAATAATGATTTTACAGACCATTTCTCCACATTTCAAAAATATGATAAATATTTTGGTGCGGTTACAGTCATCTTTTCCGACAAGGGTAGGGTGGCAATTTGTGTTGGTGGGTCATAATCGTGTCGTGTCGACCTATAAGTATTATGCTAAACAAGTCAACCCGAATACACTCATTTAATTATCGTGTCACGGACCCTCAACATAAACACGGTCCGTAACATGATATCACCCGTGTAACATGTTTAATAAATGAGTCATGCAATGACACGACTCATTTAGAACCTGTTTAACTTTGTTAGAATGTTTATATATATATATATATAGATGTTGAGTCATTATGTAATTACATATAGTTGGTAGGCCCTTGTGTTATTAAG